TGTCCAGAGAAGGGCAACGGAGCTGGTGCAGGGTCTGGAGCACAGGTCTGCTGGGGAGCGGCTGAGGGAACTGGGAGGGTTCAGTCTGGAGAAGAGGAGGCTGAGGGGAGACCTCATGGGCCTCTACAACTGCCTGAAAGGAGGGTGCAGAGAGGGGGGATGAGTCTCTTGAACCAAGGAACAAGTGATAGGACAAGAGGGAATGGCCTCAAGCTGCGCCAGGGCAGAGTCAGACTGGCTCTTAGGAAGTATTTCTTTGCAGAAGGGGTTGTTGGGTGTTGGAATGGGCTGCCCAGGGCAGGGGGGGAGTCCCCATCCCTGGAGGGGTTGAAGAGTCGGGTTGACCCAGCGCTGAGGGATCTGGTGGAGTTGAGAATGGTCAGTGTGAGGTTAATGGTTGGACTGGATGATCTTCAAGGTCTTTTCTAACCTACGTGATTCTCTGATTCTGTGAATAAAAAGTGTGAGGTGGGGTGTGAGAGTGAGTGAAAAGACAGATCTTTTCTGAGAAGCTCAAGAAAGGCCCTGTCTGTTATATTCCTAGACAGCAGAGTAAAGACCAACCCATACCCATCAGGTACTCAATTTCCAAAGAAAACAGAAAAATCCTAAAGATCTAAACAGGAGTACAGCCTGATGAAGGGTTCTCTGGTCCCAGCACTGAGCAGAGAGGACGCACCGTAAATTGAGGTACTGCAGGCACTTCATGCTGCTGCAGAATCCATCCAGGGTCTCCAGCTGGTTGTCACGCAGGTGCAGAGCTGCCAGCTGCCCCAGGCCCTCAAGGCCTTCAAGGCTCCGAATGGTGTTCTCGGCCTGAGCATCAGGGAGGCAGGAAGAGATATGGAAAAAGGGGATGACACACAGCAGTTATTTCTGGCCTTTAAAGCTCTTCCTACCCTTCAGATTCCCTACCACTTGTAACACAGAATTCCCTGAAGGGTCTTGCCCAAATGGCTTCTAAGTATTCAGATTCAAGGACTAAGAGTTTGCTGAAAAAGTGTTTCCTGTAGCAGCACTGAGACAAAACCACCCCAGATAAATACTGCCTGCACAGCACCCCCTTCCACTGCAGTGCTGAATTGGAGCCCCTAAGGCCTCAGAGAGCAACAGTGTGGAGGTGAAAGCATGGACCTGAGCCTGAAACAAGTGTATTTAAAGGATGAATCACCAGCCCCTCTCAGTCACATAGTCCATGCAGTCCAGGGATCTTCCAGTGTCATCTGTTTCTCTTGTGGGGGAAATCTACCACCAAGAAGTCTCCTCTTCTACTCCTCTAGGAGCAGAAGCAAGCTGCATGTTCCTGAGAGAGATTGCAGGGAGTGGGGGTTGTTGGCTGGTTTAATATTAAGCTTTTCCAGGTGTAATTGTTGTTATCCATCCATTGATGCACCTTCTTGCAACAAACCTGACAGTATGGCAGGAAGAATGTGTCCCATTAGCTCAGAATTCCCCATTGTTGAATTTCAGTCACTTTCCTGTGATGCGAGTTATGAGACAGGGAAATATGAAGTTCTAAATTTCAGCAAGTTTCACAGCAGGATTTCATCTGGAAAAGGCCACTAGAAATCTTCTGCCTGAGCCCTGGGCCCAGCACCAATGCCAGGTCAGGCTGCTCACTGCCTTGTGCAGCCAAGTTTGGAACATCCCTGGTAACTACAGCCTCCCCACCGCATTCTCCAGCCTGGAGCTGAGCAGGGCTCTGCTGGCAATTGTGGCCTGGGGCTCAGTCTCTAAGGATACAGAAGTCTGAACAGGAAACAGGGAGAAAGATGTCATTGCACTCTCTGTCGCTTGTTGGTACCCAGGAGTGACGTGGCCGATGTCTGAGACTAGTGAAAGGGGCACAGGCTGAACTGGTGGGACAACAGTTCAGGACTGGGTCACTCAGGAAGAGGACATTTTGTAGAAAAGGAGGATTTTGGTGTAATCTGAACAAAGGCGAGTCTGGACCAGCTGGGCCAAGTAAAGAGGGTAACACAAGGACAAAGGGAGGGAAGCTGGAGATTAAGCAAAGGTCATGTGAACAGATTTAACAGTCAGGAAGGATTAGTACCTTGTACCTCACAGGAAATCAGGAGCTGGTGTGGAAAACAGGGTGGGGAACTCACAGACCACTGGTAATGAATGAATGGTCACCTTTCATCACTCTCACTTTCTTCATTACTTCAGTGTGAACAGTTTTAACAGCTCTGACACTGCAAGCACTGACAGGACAATGCAGAATGGATTTTTTTCTTCCCCTCCACGCCCCCCCCCCCAAACAAATAACAGACATGATGCCACCATTTCTTATGAAAAGCCACTATAGCACTATAGTATGTTCCCCACGGTTCCCTCTCCCCTTCCTGCATACCTGGCCTTACTCTGTCACTTTGTCACCACTGCTGCATGACCAGGAACTGACACAACCCTACAGATGGCAGCGATCCTCAAACTGAGAAAAGTGCCACACGGTAACGCAGCCAGCTTGGAGTCCTCCTGCCAGCAGGTACAACTTTTCTAGTGCTAAATTTCACCTGCAACTATGTCATGCATTAACCAAGTTTGGTTTGGGTCCTTCAAATTGAACCCTTTTTCTTGCACCCTGTCCTTGAGGCATTGGCTACATTTATCCATGGCTCAAGTAATACCAAAATCTTTATACAGAAAGCAAAGCACTACTGGTAGAGACACTCCTCCAAAATTATTTAGTGAGCAGGTGGACATGAGAGACAAATTTAATGGTCAGCGTTAGGTTAATGGTTGGACTAGATGATCAGAAGGTCTTTTCCAACCTAGATGATTCTATGAAATTCAAGCCCCAAGGATACATGAGAAATGAGTCAGTTGTTCTAGTTTTAATAATCACATCTTGCATTTGCCTGCTTCATGTGTGCAGCTCAGAAATTTCTCAGTCATGCCAGAAACCTTCTTCAAATATAGGTGCTGTGTTTGCCTCCCTCCAATTATTCACTAAAGTTTTCCTTTTAAATTCTGTATTATATTTAGTGACTTATCCACTTTATCCCTTCTTCTACCACCTCTAGTCCTAAAATCTAGGTTTCCTACCAGAAAATTACAGGCAATCTCAGCAAGCAATCTTCCAGTTTTATTCTGCCAGGGAGTCTTGATGAAAAGAAATCATATAGCTTTTCAAAGCCTTTATCATCTTTAATTGCTTTTTAAGAGGTAGTGACTCAGGACACCTATCCAGTCTTTGCAAGCTGTAGCACTGTGCTATGCATGGGACTAAGCCCTACATACTTTCTTCACTTGCATCTCCAGGAGTAAATGTTCCCTAAAGCAATTGTTTATGGTATTAGGAAATTGCTTCTCCTATCTTAGTTTCACTGTGATGTACAATCAGTTTATTTTCTGGCAGCTGAAGATGTGAATCATATAATTGTGCTAGTTTTAAACCAGTATTTGATTAGGCAGAAGAGAGCAGAAGGAGGCATCACCCCGTGCTGTCAAGCCAGAGCAAACTGTTGCTTTCTGCACTGACCCCCAGGGGTCCCGGGACACACAGAAAACAGGTTTGCCTAGCACCACCAGAATAGGATACAGCTCTCCAGTGGGAGGCTGGGAGGGAAGTACCTGACACACTGAGAGCTGCCAACTCCCCTGCCCCCTGTAGAGGAATTACGGGTCAGTGGCTACTCCCTTTGCACCATCTAGGCAAACAGCATAGAAGGAGCTAGCCCAAAGACAGGATTTTGTCTCCTTAGCTCTCTGAAATCTGTTCATTTCTTGGGTTGAGAAGATTGAACTGAAGGGGCTAGCACAAAAATTATGCTGCTTTGAAAGGGGCAGTATTTCCCTTCCTTCCACTGACGGGAGGTGCAGCAGCTCCATCCACTTCCCGAGCTGGCTGACTCCCTTACCAGATAGAGGTTCTTGAGCTTGGGAAGATTGAGCCCGGCTGTGCTCTCTAGTTTGTTTCCTCGCAGCTCCAGGATTTGCAGGCTGAACAATTGGCTGTGACTCAGACCCAGAGCTGTCTGGATTTTATTTCCTGAGTGCCAGAGGAGGAAGAAACAACATGAGAGTTAATCCTACCCTAAGAAAGCATCCTGTGTACACAAGAATGAGAGGAGGTGGTCTGTATCACCTTTTAGGCTGAGGTTGGCTAAGCGGGGGTGAGTAATACCCTCCATATCCTTGATGCGGTTGTGAGCAAAGCTGATGATCTGGAGGTAGGGCAGCTCCTGCATGCAGGCACTGCTAAGCAGATTCCCATCCACCTTCAGCCAAAGCAGGTGTGTTAGGCTGCTCAGCGGAGACAAATCATGCAGCTTGTTGTCTGATAAATCCACATACCGCAGGTGAATGAATCTTTCGAGGATGCTGACGTCAGTCAAGTCCCTGTGGGAGGGAGGACATGAATAAAACATCTCTCATATTTCCCCCTGCTGCCAGCTTTCAGTTTCTTTCTCACCAGTACTGGGAGGGCATCCTCCTCTCCCACTTCCTTGCTGTCCTAGGAAGCCTTGCTGGAGAGAAAGAGGAAAAAGGCAGGTGATAATGACAATCTGTAAGCAAGGCCGAATGCTAAGGAGTGGACCTGCTTTTCTGGTACAGGGAGTACTTCTCCCTGTGTGAGCTGTAGCTGTCAGGAGGGGGCAGAACCAGAGGAGGAAAGAAGGTAAATTTGGGGGATGGGTCTGTTAGAAAGTAGTGGTAATACCAAAGACTGTGTGGAAGGACTCTCCTAGTGGGAAAAAGCCAGTCAAGATACCTGCGAGGCTGGTGAAAAACATAGTCTAATTGAGAACAAGGCCTGTTAGGTCTAGGGTTGTTTGGGTGCACTGATGGGACTGAGGCTCCAAACAGTCCCCAGGCCATTGTGGCACTGTACTTACAAGTGCATGTCTTAAAGGTTAGCAGCTAACAGGAGAGATGCCTAATGGATATTTCTCAAAAGTGACTGTGGGGAAGTCACCCTGTTCAGGTCCCCCTAGGACTGCACAGCCCAAAGCGATGAGCAGGCTTCCCTCAACCTAGTGGGTCACCGATGTCCACACTAGTGCATCTGGCTGCGGCGGAGGCAGTCCCCAGCTCTGGGCTGAGGATGGACAGGCTATGCTGAGGCACAGGCCAGAAGCCAGCCAGCCACAGAACATGGCCTGGAAACGCTCTCTCCCACACACTTCATCACCAGTAGCCTTGTCGTGCATCTGCTCTGTGGCTACACAGATGTCCAGGGAGGAGGAGGAGCAGGAGGCCTCCTCCTGGGGCAGGTGTTGCACACTCACTTGGATTTGGCTTCAAATTTCACGTAGGCATGGGCCAGGCCGTTGCCGGACTTACAGAGGAGGGACAGGCCCTCCTTCAGGACCTCCTCCGTCAGGGGACGCGGGGCCAGCACCTGGGGGAGAAGGAGAGAGCACACGGCCAGCGCTGGCCCAGCCGCAGCCAGCAGATTCTGAGGCCCCTTCCCTCACCTGTTCTTCCTCCTCCTGCTTCGACCGCGCCGCCTCCTCCTCCTCCTGAAGGGTGTACTCCTCCCCGTCCCGCTCTTCGCCCTCCATCCCCAGAGGCCCCGCTCCCCGCCCCGCCGCGGGAGCTCCCTCAGGGCAAACGGCGGCCGCCACCACCCGGCCTGCGCGGGCCGCGGCGCCCCGCTGCCATG